ATACACATTAGTTTAAGCGCTTGAAGAAAACAAGAGAAAAAGAGAAATCGAAGGATGTGCAAAACGAAAACACTAGCCATTGGCCAGCCAAGTGATAAATGATTTGATGCTTCCAATTTTAAGAAAAATATAAATTCTTCAATTGACTTATTGCCACCATCGTTTGTAATCCCCTAATTCGTATTTACAAATAAATATAATAATTTGTGACATACCTTTGTTATACATTAGCAATTGCAAAGCAAGACCATGCGCGCGCGGGGAAATATTAATTTAAGTTTGAAATTCATAGTCATTCTAGATGCCTGGTCATAATATTAAACAGTACTATTGTTTCAACTAGATTGAGTGCGTAAATAAATTTAATAAACGTAAAACTTAAACGCAACAGCTGATTGCGTTCAAAGGACGTTTAGACGTCGCGCACACAATACGTGTCATACTTAATGATCGTATAGTCTGTATGCATATGTACATACGTATGCCTACAACGAGTATGGAGAACCAGCGTCATTCGCGTGGGCGCGACCATGCGTGGTCGAGGATTCACGGACGAGCGAGTGGACGGATCGCGGATGATCCAGCTCGATCGTTCATCGCGAACACGTGTAATGTGCGCGTAAATGGCATCGCCTCGAAGCGGAACGTCGCGTCGTCGTCGTCGCTCACCCTTCCGTTTTCGCTGTTTGAACGTGTGAGCATTGAGCACGCGAACGCGCGTCGCAAGATCGATGATGCGTCGCAGTTCTAGCCATTCGAGTCGCCCGCATTGATGTTGCACTCGGGAAATCGATCGCGTTCATTCCAAGTGATCTCTAAGAAAAATGTTCCAAGTGTTGTCAGGTTTAGCCGTTGATAATCGAGGTTTTACGCGGCGATTTTAGTCGAGTGTGGATCTAGTTGGAATTCTTTTTTTTCCTTTTAAGTAAAGCTGAATACGTGCGTTGTTCGAAATTGCATAGGAAATGTAAAGAGTGTGTTACATTTATATTTGCACTTATTTAATTAATTTCTGATCGAGAGAATATACAGTTTTTGAAAACGCGTAATTACATAGCAAATGGGTTCGAAGATCACACCTAGGATGAGCGCATAATCGCGAAAGGGGGAACAATGATTCATCGCGATAATTTGAATACAGGTTCGCGGTTGTCTCGAATCGGTTGATCGAGTGCCAGCAACGGGCAACAGAGAACAACGTCAGTGCCGCGGCTCACTTCCGGCCCTCCGGTACCGGTAAAACGAAACTGTGTACGAACGAACATAAATTACATTTTTCCAACGAATCTATCAAATACTACGAACGTTTCTTCGCAAATCTCGAAGTAATCTCGACAAATTTTCTTTGCTCTGCGATGTACCCGAATAAAGGTTTGTTGAATTGTACGCCTAACTCATTGGATTTTTAACATGAACAACCTTTGCTCATCGTATGCCACTAACGACGACGCGTACCCGTCTACGTTTATGTGGGTAAAAAATCCAATGAGCTACTTGCGCAACTCGTACTGAGTTCCAAATTAAATATTGAAATATTAAAATAACAATTTGAATTTTAAAACATTAGTGTTAAAAATTTAAATACATTGATTAAAAAGTTAAACACGTGAGTCACTTCTATTTTATTTAATTTTTCTCTAAAACTCTAGTGACTCGAGCCACTCGCATTGATTTTCCACAATTTTTCTGTAAAATTTAACTTAAACACGTAAATTTGGTTATAAACAAGTGTACGATAATGAAGGTGCATTTGTTGGAACATTTAGTTTAATTGGTGCTGCGGCTCGTTGATTCTTTCGGCCGCTGTAATCGGATAATTGCCTTGCAAGATGGTACGCGTCGCACGCTTGTCCCCCATGAAGGAAGAGGCTGTAAAGGTAAGTTAATGAACGTATACGCGGATAACGTATGAGCGTTTCGGTAATATAAAACGAAGGACAGCCTAGGATGTCGTTTGCCTAAGAATGGTGAATACACTCACAGATATTGCGTTAGTCATAGATATTTTCGATGCAAACGGAAATGGAACCGAAGCCAACACGCGTCGCACGTTTTTAATCCTAAACTCTGATTGATATTAATTAGATTTCTATTATAATTCAAATTGGGAACAATTTTAATTGTTAATTCTGTTGTACTTTAACTGCTAAATAAACTAAAATACTTGTGTTCAATTCTGCTGCTTGTATCAGTGTCAAGTTTATCGTCAATACAAAGCATTACCATTACGTTTTGCACTGCATTCCTATTTATCCCTTGCTTCACTAAACGCAATAACATATAACGAAACATTATAAATTGGCTACTTTTCTGTTCAGATTGTGATTTTAGATCTATTTTAGAATCGAAGCAATTTTATTTGAATTATTCACAAAGACAACACGTATTCAATGTCCATTTCGGCTGAAAAATTCTAACAGGCGCCAACATTGTAAGCTGAGATCTGAGAGCACTATTCAAGCTAAGTAGTTTAGATTCGAGTACAAGGATATTTCTGTAATAATGACTTCACGTTTGCAAAGTTGCTTAATATAACTAATAACTTTCCCAACTAATACTTCATTATATTAATATAAATAAATATTATTTTAATCTGTTCATTTTTAATTTCATGTCTCGTTTCATTTTCACCCTTTTGAATCCCTTCCACACTGCCCGCACCACTTTCTATCTTGAAGACGATGCCGCGTTGCTCCGGATTCTAAATTATCGTTGGAAGCCGATGATTCCGCGGATTTCTTAAAACATGTTTCGGGCTCGACAGCCGCGGATGACTCTCGCTCGCCACTCGCCAGATATTTCAGGCCAGCGCGTTGCAGCCGCGCATTAATACGCATGTAAACTCGTATCGTGTGGCTGTATATTCGCTGGTTCGCTTCGGCTCGCTCGCTCGTGGCCGTGCCCGTCTATTATTAGTCGACAGTCATCGGAGTCCGCTTGTAACGCGCGGCGACGAGCGACAACGCGGAAAAAGCTGGAAGAAAATTCGACGAAAAAACGCGGACGCCCGCGATATTTTCCCTCGTAACTCGCCTCGGTCAAGGGTGATATTTCCTCGTTCGCCGGTCACTATACTACTGTCACTGCCACCCTCGCGCCACCAGGACCTCCATCCGACGCTCACTCGATGCCCTTGGACACTACGATGATTCTCGCACGTTTTTCACTGTGAGTCTCATCCCGTTTGTTTCGGTACTGCGTCTTTCGATTCGAAATGCCGCCAAGCGATTAAGCCTTTCTTTATTGCGAGCACGTTCGAGAACTTCTTTTGGGAAACTAGGCATCGAGGTCTTCTTAGAGATCGTTGCGATGGATATAGATTGTCGGATTTAACTTCAGCGGGAAAATCCTATTCAACGATTGTCTCCTGTTGAGTTTTTATCACAGGTCTGTTACGTATAAATGATGAAATCGTTGTTGGAAAGACTGCGATTTAAAAATCGAGCTGTTCTTCTATTATTATTGAAGCTGTCTTAGAACGTTGTGTACACGTGGGAAGTATTCGAAATTTGTTAAATTTTGCAGATGAAGGATGCTCTTCCGCAGAAAGGAAATAATAATAACAATAATAGTAGCAGTAATAACAACAATAATAATAACGTAGCTACGTTAAAAAATAAACCTTCCTTGGAAATTTACCGACCTCCAGGTATTGATATTATTTTAAACGATTATCTTAAAATTCTATTTAAAAAATGTCAGTCAATCTGATGTCGCTATTATAGGAGGAAGAACGGAAGGAAACACGGCGAACGCTACTAATCCACGACTAAACGTACACGCTAAGGAGTTCACTATGAAGCAGAATGACTCGCATTCTTCGAAGTAAGTATATAAAATGAAATGATTGGAACTCTCGATCTAGGTATCGAGAACAGTTGAGAAGATGTGTAGAAAGCCGACGCAAAATTCTTCTAAGTGGAGTTGCCGACGCTTGATCATTTATAGCGAAATTTATTTATGACGAAGGAGAAGTCTTTATTATGACACACTTCTTTATTGTATTCATTTGCTTTTTGCTAGTTTTTGAGATATAGCATTTACGAAACTGATTTTCATGGGAAAAGAGCGTGAAGCCCGACTTTCCTTTCTCTCTTTGCGCGATTCGTCAGTTTGTTCATATTTCGGTGCGCACCAGAAGACGATCCTTTTAAATGGATTTCGCGCGGGTGCGCGACCACACGTTGCATAGATCTAAAGCCGGCCTAAAGGATTTATACGTCCAGCGTAAATTGAATTTCATTGCGAAGGGTAATATCTCAATGTCAAATTTCAAATTTGCCAACGTTTTGTCCGAACAGTACGGAGATTCATTATGTCGTAGACAAATCCTGAATTCGCGATAGAAGATACATTTTCAATGGAAGTAAAAGCAGTTAAAATTAATTTCGAAACCGGATTCATTCTTTAACGAGGCTTACGCAGTCCCGATATCATAGATTAGTATTCACCTCGGCGTTCACAGTGAAAGATAGAGTGCAGGATTATGTCAGTGTGTTGCAACGACGCTTTGATAAACTGTTAATCCTTACCAGTGCGGTGGCGTTAAAAGACATTACGTTGAAAATACTAACGAGCGTTGAATGAATGCGAATATTAGTTTCTCAACGCGTCCCACGCTAACTGGATAACGCTGACAATAATTTCAGCTTAGCGTTTCCCGCTTAAGTGATCGATGTTTAACGATCTTGATTCAGGTCTCGGACGAATGCCTCAGAGCGATCTCCGTACTACCTGCAGCACAGCAAGTCGAGCGGAAACGTGCATCGATATCTTTACGCTCAGCATCAGCAACAGATACAACATACTCTTCAACAGCAGCAGCAGCAGCATCATCAATCATCTCGTCATTCACAGAGCGGGCATCATTCGACGAGCTCGGTGTTAAAACAGTCACATCCGCTTGACACGTCGGCATCGAGTGGAAATATCTTGCATGTAATTTCTAATTTAACATTTCATAGATAGAGAAGTGATGGAACGTAGGAATTCAATTTTTCTATACTATTTTCTTACGTACTTCGATTATTTCATTTTGCATTGTACAAGTTTTGTAAATTAGGGTTCAGGGAGGGTCCATTTCAATATGGATCAAAATGAAGCTAAAGCCAACCCAGCAAAACCCCCCAGACTCACAAAATCGTTGTCCTTTGTCTCTACTTACGGCCTGAAACGATCGAAAAGCTTAAACGCAGCCGACGTGTTGGCCGCGAAGGCGATGAATATTTCAGACGCGTCTGAATTGGGGAAATTCCCATCGGCGATTCAGGATTCGCTTCTCAGAGCTATCGAAGGTAAAACCTTAAATATTTTTCTATTTCCATTTTTTATTTTTCGTGCATCACTTTTTCTATTTAGATCCAAACTTACTGAATGCGCGAGCCTTGATGGAACTCGTACGACACATCTTGGAGAGAGTCGTAGAGAATCGGAAGTATGCAGAACCTGCGGCGAAGATTTGCATCACTATTATAGAAGTAATTGTCACTTCATCGAATTATAATTTAAGATCAATTTCAAATTGTTTAAGGATCACTATTGCAATTTTTGACACAGAAAGAGACTAAGGAAACTTTCTTAGAGTCCTTGTTAAATATGTGCCAGCAGTGGTACCAGGATCGAGCTAAGATCCTCTACGGCGACGGATCCAGCTATCATCGTTACTCAGCTTTCATGACCTTCTTGAACGAGATGTATTGCCAGGTAGAACAAATTATTTGAATAAATTTTTTGTTTCTCTGCTATATGTACTACATGTACGTCTCAGATCATATAATTCATCATGTTCCATCGGTCCGATCTATTTCATTTTTTATCGAACCAATCGATTGACGTAGACACGTGTTTGTTCTCATAAATATGCATGATTTGCGATTATAGTTAAAGCGAAGGCAGTTACAGTTAAAGACGCAACAGGAGGGCGTTCCACCCGGACGCGTCCTTCTTACGTTGCTCTGGAAGTGCTGCCAAGATTGCTTGCAACCTCCAGTCGTCAATTCTTTGGCTGAGGTAGGTTCAATGCGTAATGGTTTTATTATCAATATTTAAGCAAAATCGTCAAAGATTGGATTCTCTTGCCTTAAAGACGGATTGCCTGTTCTTCATTCTGACATGCATCGGCAAGGATCTGGACACGGAGTTGCCGGCTCAGTTGCAGCAACTATTGGGAAGCCTGAGGGACGCTTTCCTCGCGGAGGACACGATATTACCGTCGGTCAGAAAGACTCTCTTACAATTGATCGAACTTCACGCCGCCCATTGGCAGCTCCCAGCGCCGGCGGTCGTTTATTACTATCCGGGATCGACCTCGAAATGATCCTTCCGCCCTTTCGATTCCTCCGTCCGTTCGTCGGTTTTTCTGTGTGTGTGCGTGTGCGAGCGCGTTAAAAGGATCGTTTGTACTTGAACACATGCGAATAAAAATGAAACGAGTGGTGTGAGCGAGTTGCGCGGAGTCGACAGCCCGGAGCGATGTTTCCTAATTGTCATGGAAATGTTATGGAATGGTTTCTCCCATCATTTTTAAATGTTCTTTTGTTTCCGAGAACGTGCGCTCTACTTTATTCAGCTTGTAATATCGAGCTCGTAATAAACGTGTCTCGGGCGCAACGAGCTCCTTGCGAAACTCTAGTTCGTTTAAGTGATTAGGTGTCCGATGCGTCAGCCGCGATCTCGTTGTTACTGCGAAGAACGATCGTGTCCCGTGAGGTTCAGCAAAAAATGATTTACGATGATCGCTATTGCAAGAAGTGTCGCAAGAACGACGTAACTGGCTAATTCATCTCAATGAGAGTAATCCATTGACGCGACGTACGGAAACCGGGTTTTCGCAATTTAGAAAATGTCCCGTTAGTGAGCCAGACGTAAAAAAAGAAGAACAGTTTGATAATTGTACGGGACTTAAAAGGCACATGTATGGGCTTTGTACTAGTTTAAGATGTGTTTTGTTCTAACTTTTGTTTATTAGAAGCGATTCTTCAATCATTGTCGAAGAACGAAACGGATGAACACGAATTTCGATTACTCTACCTCGAATTTTCCTCGGCTTTTTCCGTAAACGCGATCAAGCAGAAACTATCGAACCGAATGTGAGAATGACTGATGAAAATTACCGCCGAACTTGTCGAACGATACAATGAAAAAACAAACGAAACGATTTGAATGTCTACGATGATTTCTATGCTTATGATGTATTCCTTTGAACGTGTGAAGTAAACGATGAATAAAGAAACTGGAAATATTGTTGGACCAGGCGGCGCTTTTCCGCCTGCCTTAGGTACATCAAATTTCGAAACCAAACGTATACATATGTACTTTTCTTCTGTATCCGAGCAGAAAATAGTTAAGCTCCAATTATAAAGTACGTATACAAAAAAGAAAGGATCTCTGTTCAACTCATTCGTTCCTCGTTAATTTATTTCGTTTACCCTTGTACTGGCTGTTTCTTTAATTTCAGGTTTCGTTTCGCGGACAATGAGAACGCGTAATTTCTTTGTGATTGCGTATAATTTAAGAATTGTTGGCAAACGGACCGCATGATTCATCATAGAAAGATGAAGAGCTTTCTGGTAGAGAGCGGCCAACCACGGAAAGAAACGTTGTTTAGCGTGACATATACTCTTAATAAGGAACATACCTGCCTGATCTCCTTTTCGAAACGCAATCGCCTTTGCCGATTCATGCCAAGGGCGATAAAAATCGCCCGAGAATTGATTTAATGTGTGCAATACCAGTTTCATTCTATAATACATAACAATCATTTCTAAAAATTCTTATTTCACTTTTTTATCCTTTCCCCCTTAAATCATTATTTTTTCTAAAATAGTTTTTCATATTTAAAATTTCAATGCTGTTTCTTTATTACAAGGAGCCTTATAATACCTAAGGAGCCTCACACGGTTTATTTTATTCACTATTGCGTTCAAAGGTGTCTCTTGCGAAATTCGTATCTAACTTCTACTTTGTTTAGAATAAAAATAAGAAAAAGCATTTGTGTGTGCGTTCCCATACGGGAACAAAGAATGCGTAATATCTTCACTTGCGACTGTTCCTCCATTGGTTGAGCGATACACCTGTTACATTAGGCTTGATATGACGCAAATAATAGAAAAAGAAATAGGATATTCATACGGAATTATCGTTTTTAAAAAACTGTAAAAATGTATGAAATTCTCTGTAATACATAATCATAAAGTGAAATAAAATAGCGACTACGTGTATCATAGTGCTATGCCGATCGAATCCTATCTCATAATCGAACAATATCCTCGTGTCAAGGTCGCACGTCCTCCGGGGAGTTCCGTCCGGAATCGGAGTAAAGAGGCTGAACCGAACGCGGAACGCGCATTCCGCTGGCCAGTCAGGATGTTCTCCACGCCGTGGAAACGTCCCGCGGTCGACCTTGAAACCTCCAGGTCGGAGAACCGAGGAGAGGTTTCACCTTGGATAATCGGTGCCGCGGACTCGAAAACTAGGCCTGCGCCCGTCGTTGTCGTTAGCGGTGATGCACGTACGCGCTGGTGAACGAATCGCGAAGAGAGGCGAGGGAACGATGAGGACGCGGAGGAGTAAGACGACAGACGAAGACGTGTAAAGGCGCGTTTAAACTGAATGAAAGAGAACGTAGAACGAAAGAAAAGGACTGGTTTGTCCTCGTATAGTGCAAGGATCAACCTTGTCTTGAAGGATCCGAGCTCTATCTTATATTGAAATTATTCTTTTATATCCCAGGTGATGCATAATGAATATAAATATCTCATTAGATACGAAGGAAATTATATAAAGAATCGTAACTTGGTAGCCGATCGCTTCCCGATGAATGCTCATTTGTGCATTTTATATTTTATTAAATCGAAGGAGGAACAAGAAGCATCTGCTTTGGTCTAAACGCACCTTTAAACGTAGATGGAAGAGAGAGAATGAAAGACATACAGAGGCGCGTTCGTTCGCGGTAACGAAACAAATAGGCCGGCGACTTTCACCGCGTAGCCAAGAACGGCTATACACGACACCGCAGGCAACAACCGAGCGCTCTTGGCCCAAACCGCTCGAGTATGAGGTGTACCCTCGCTCACTCGTTCGTCGTAGTGGGGCAGGATCCTGCTCAAATCCGCGAGCACGAGGCATACCCTGAGAGCCAGCGAACGGGCACTGAGATTCTTTTTCAGCCGTGTGCCCGCACGTGTTGCGTCTGTCCCCTGACCGGCTCTGTTTCTTCTCTCCTACGCGAATCTGATTTTCGTTTAAGTCGCGTGTGTCACGGGGGAATTTTTTAGCTCGCGTTCCTCTCTATTCACCCGAAGTGGCGCAGTATGCGTTTTCGCAATCTGTTTTAAATTCAATACAGTTTTGTGCAAAGTTGGGAGTGCTGTGATAAAGGGGAACTACTCAAAGAAATGCTTGTGTGTGCGTTGCCGAGCCGCTGACGATGACACGAAGACGACCACCGAGACCAGATTCGCTTCGGATCTACTTGTTGGCCTGGCTGCTTTCGATCGTCTTGCCTGCTAGAAGCGGTATATTGTTTTTAAAGATTTCACAGACGTTCGGTTCATTGGCTCGAATTAGATAGAAATTGATCATTCTTAAAGATCTCAAATAGAGTTGTCAGATATGAAAGTACAGTGAACACGTTGAGGATAATTTTTGCCTGCTCCTTCGATAGTGATGACGTAGGAAAAAATTTTTTTCTCATCCGATTTCATGGAAAGGAATACAACTTTTGCAATATTGGTTTATTAGCTACCGAATACGTGATTCATCTTTGAATGGTCGAAAAACTCAACGTGTTCGGTTTTAAACGATGCACGCGCGCGATTCTCATTATCCGCTCGAACGAGCCACGGACGAAACTGTACCGAAAGTGAAAATATGGAGCAACGATGCTCCAACCAGAAAGGTTTCCTTTCGGTATTCTTCAGATGGTAGGCTCGAAGGATTATTCGTTAGTATCGAGCGTTACCTGCGGAGGTAGGCTTATTCCAAGTGGAATGCAAACAATGCTACCGCTAAGACAATCAAGAATTTGGAATTCAGTACCGATATTAATAATCTATCGGTGATGTCCTCGAGAAATATGCCTACACATTTATTGTGTAGATTGAGTTAATGTAAAAAAGTATTTATAGGTTCTAATTAATTATATTTAAAAGAGAAACCTTTTTAATTAATTGCCCTGAAGAGGAATGCTTTTCTGCGAATTAGAAATCAATAGCCGGATCTCTTTCGATATCCGAGTTGCGATCTCCTCTGTGCTCCGAGCGGCTAATTTATGTGCATAGTTGACTTCTCCGAACGATAATCATGTACCTATGGAACGCTTCCTGACGTTAACGAAACAATCGATCGTTTCGCGAACAATTGTATAATAATAACGTTTGAGACAAATTTCTTTTGAAAGAATTTTTAACTCTAAAAGACAGCTCGTAGAAGCGTCACATTTATTACATATCTTCAGCTAATTAGTATCTACGAACGGGGACAATCCTTGAGCCTCTGAGCTATGTGAGCTCTTTTGATATTAGAAAATATTCTTTTTGCGAAGAATCGTTTCTCAAGTGATAAGACCTTGATGAATCAAAACGTTTTTAGGAATTCGTTTTCACATTATCAGATCACTTGAGTCGAGTCTCGCGAAACGTCTTCTTTTTGTGCTTACAGGTGTAGTGTACAATGCGGATAAACAGAGGTACGACGGGTGGTACAACAACCTTGCACATCCGGATTGGGGATCGATCGGCAAGTATCGTAAACAGTATTACGTCTCTTTGTTTTATCTTTTACGAGCACGTGCGTTCAATTTTGTTACCCTGTTTAATTTCTTGGCAATCGAATTACCTGTCACAAACTACTTAAGAAATCTTGATGAAACGAAACAAAGTACTCTTTTAACAATCTCGTTAAAAAAGTTGATCAAACGAAAATGACTAAATCGTGACAATCTTAACACGGTACCTCCGTAGATAGCAGGCTGATACGAAAGATGCCAGCGGCGTACTCCGATGGGGTTTACATGTTAGCTGGCCAAGACAGACCATCCCCTAGAAAACTTAGTCAACTATTCATGCAGGGTGACGATGGATTGCCATCAGTCAAAAATAGGACTGCGTTATTTGCATTCTTCGGTAAGAACCAATCACTTCATCATTTTGAAAGATATTCATAAAAAAATAATGCATTATACAATAGCCAAGGTGTATCCTACTAATACCCTAAGTATAAGAAAAAGTAATTCTATTTGAACTAACTGATTTAGAAGGAATTCTTACGAATGAATCAGAATGATGGAATATCTACTTAGTAAATGGAATTACTCGAGAAGGGAATTATCGTGGCTGACGGTGTGCGCATTCGAATATCTGTATCACGTTGTTGCGTAAACTAAAAGGTGTCCGGGTGTCGGGATAGAAACGAGCAGCATTTAAGTACAGGGTACATTTTTATCTACTTTTCGCGATAAAATATTCCGCGTGACATACATATACCCATTCGCGCTTGCTCCGAAAGATTGGGGAATCAAGCTCCCATGTACGAATATACTCGAGTAATTTCTACTTTGACATAGATCAATTGTTATAGCTTGAAAAAAAATTGTACAATTAATAAAAAAGGTAATAGTAGAAAGTAATTTTATATTAGCTGTGTTTATTTTATGTGTGTACGTAATGCCTCGCAGCGAGGAAAAGAGAAATTGCATGGCAATGACAGTAAACAATCATTCATTGTTATACTATTAAATGAAAGTAAGAATGTAGTTTTTAACGAACTTCCTATTTGATAAGATCGATTTTTGAAATCGTATGCACGTGCATTAAAGTAAGCATCGATTTCACTTGGATTTCACTGTAAGTAGAAATTTTTCATCGTTATTGTTCCTGCCATCAGATAATCATTTATCAACCTATTGTAATAAGATTAACAAGAGGCAATCCTTATATACGAGCGTAATAATTTCATAAATGAATTTGAAACGAAAACATTTGAGGATCGTATCATTAGAGTCCGTAAACTGTACGTCCGATGAGAAACGAAATTCTCCAATCATTCGTGGCTCGTTTTCCACTTTCCTTTGAAAATCTGGGATAATGAAACCGGAATGAAGAGACATGGTGTGACCAGGCAGATGAAAGCTGATTCCCAAAAGTAAAAACTAGGTCAGCCTCCTAAATTCCATCCACGTTTCGTTTCGATGCGACGTACGGAAGTGTTGATACCCACCACAGGAAAAAAAAGTTGATCCTTCGAGAACCGGTCGCGTGTATTGGAAGGCTGCTTCCTTGAACCTCGAATTGAATCGGGTCTTTATCCGGCTTCGTGCATCGAACCATTTCAGGGCAACTGGTCACATCGGAGATAATCATGGCCAGCGAAAGTGGCTGCCCCATAGAGTACCATCGAATCGACGTGGACAAATGCGATCCGGTTTTCGACAAGGAGTGCCAAGGTAACAAATACATTCCCTTCCGCCGGGCGGATTACGATCGATTGACCGGACGCAGCCCTAACAGTCCTCGTGAACAGGTAATTTCTTTCTTTCCACCGATCCTCTCATTAATTTCTCTATATCAATTAAAAAATAATTGGTCCAACGGTGTCATGTCTTTCGAATCAGAATAAAAATCTGTACTTTCATTTTGCACGTGAATCGGATTTCAATTAGGATTTCGCTTGAATTCGATTTCAATTGAATTCAGATTGACTTCGCCTGAAACGTGCCTGAGACTTCGTTTATATGCGTCAACAATTTGAGAATAAAAGAAAATTCCTTAATATTAATTGAACGATTTGCTTTAATAACGAATCATTCGACCATTCCACTGGGGGAAATAAGTCGTGAAAAGTAGCTCCGAACACGTGAGGTTGCAGATAAACAAAGTGACGAGCTGGATCGACGGTAGCTTCATTTACTCGAGCAGCGAAGCATGGGCGAACACGATGAGGTCTTTCAAGAACGGGACACTTCTCATGGAACCGACCAGGAAGTTTCCCGTGAGGAACACCATGCGTGCCCCGCTTTTCAATCACGCCGTTCCGCACGTTATGAGAATGCTCAGCCCGGAACGTCTCTATCGTGAGTTCATTCGATTTTCTTATTTTTTATCTTTGCACGTGACGACTTTAACAATACTTTCGCGGTGAACAATACGTACAGTTCTGGGAGATCCAAGAACGAATCAGCACCCGCCGCTACTGTCTCTGGGCATACTATTTTATCGGTGGCACAACGTGATAGCCGCTCGGATACAACAAGAAAATCCGGAAATGTCCGACGAGGACGTTTTTCAAAAAGCGAGACGTATCGTTGTTGGATCGCTTCAGGTAATTATATGAAACGAGAAGGAGTACGAGTCGTGTGATATAAAACCAATTCGCTTAGAAGAAATGCGTGTACATATCTATATTGTCATCTCACTATGAGAAGTCGTGTTACATCATTGCCATGAAATTGTACACGTAGCTGCAACCAGATATACTAATTTTATACCACTTGGAGAATTAACACGAACTCACGAACCGTAACTTTCTGTGAAGACATTTCTCAAATACATTATTCTTATTAGACAAATAAAATAAATTTCTCGTCTATTAACTATAGAATATAATTCTCTACGAGTATCTTCCGATACTTCTAAACGAAGATCCACCGGCTTATATGGGATACAAACCGGATCTCCATCCGGGTATCAGTCACATATTTCAAAGCGCGGCTTTTCGATTTGGGCATACTTTAATACCACCAGGATTGTATCGTCGAGACCAAAATTGCAAGTATAGGAGAACGAATACCGATCAGCCAGCAATCAGACTTTGTTCCACTTGGTGGGATTCCAACGTAAGTTCAAATTATGAAACGCCTCCCTCCGCGATTTTTCTCCCGTTGGATCTTAAATTACTATATGAGAGTGTGGAAAATATTTCTTCCTCGAGATTCTTTTAAGAACTGTGCCGACTTTTATGTATTGTAACAATAGTATAGCCTTCTGCCCTGATCTTTAGGAAGTATTAACTAACAGCACAATAGAGGAACTGCTTATGGGAATGACATCGCAAATAGCAGAGAAAGAAGACAATCTCCTTGGCACTGATATCAGAAATAATTTATACGGGCCAATGGAATTCTCGCGCAGAGATTTGGGCGCTATAAACATCATGCGTGGGAGAGACAACGGGCTGCCGGATTACAACACGGCTAGAGCGCATTTCAAACTGCCCCGTAGGAAAACCTGGAACGAAATCAATCCCCGATTATTCAATAAAAATCCTGCGTTACTACGCACGTTAGTCGAGATCCATTCAAATAATTTGAACAATGTGGACGTATACGTTGGTGGGATGCTGGAGTCCAGCTCTGGTCCAGGGGAGTTGTTCACTGCAGTGATCAAAGAACAGTTCCTCCGTTTGAGGGATTCCGATAGATTTTGGTTTGAGAACGAAGAGACCGGGTAAGTAATAAATGAAGTGCGGAGCTCGCGCATTAAAATTAAATGAGCAGAAAATATAGAGCATGCAAAAATATGCATTTTGTCTACCCAAAAGTGCGCATTATTATTCTTAAAGGGAAAAGAAAAATCTCAATCTGAATAGCTTTTTAAATTGTCGTCATAATTGTTTCATTGCACTAATACTAATAAGTGAAAAGTAGATAGCTGATGGATCGTTAACGACTGATTTCAGGATTTTTACAAAAAGCGAGATAGAGGATATCCGTCGCGTCACTTTATGGGACGTAATAGTGAACGCGACGGGTATCTCACCAGATGCTATCCAAAAGAACGTGTTCACCTGGGAAGAAGGAGATCCCTGTCCCCAACCCTATCAATTAAACTCAACCATGTTGGAACCCTGCGTACCTCTGCAACGTTACGACTATTTCGAGGTAATTGTTTTTCCATAAACGGAAACATATTTTTCTATCCGCTGCATCCCTTTTACATTACCTAACATTACTCAATCACTATCATCCTGTTCTGAGTCTTAAAAGGAAAAGAAAATCGAAAGCTAATCGCGTCGCTTGTTACAGGGAAGCGAGCTGGTGTACATATACGCCTGCGTTTTTCTCGGTTTCGTGCCGATTCTGTGTGCCGGCGCTGGTTACGGCTTGGTTAAACTTCAAAACAGGAGGCGAAGGCGATTAAAGATCCTTCAGGAGGAAATACAAAAGAGAAACGATGGGAAGATTTGCGTGGACAAGATGATCGTGCGCGAATGGTTGCACGCGAACCACCGCCGCCAGGTCAAGGTGAAATTCGGCCCGGAAGCGGCTCTGCACATCGTCGACCGCAAGGGAGAGAAACTGCGTACGTTCGATTTCTGCGATGTGAACACGGTCGCGATGGAGGAATCCCAGGTGAGTTTATTGCTGCAACCCCTGGTTCTTGCTGTCGAAATTTTCGAGGGAATCTCGAAACGCTTGCGTAATTCGTTTACGGGCTTGCGAAGAGAAACAACGGCATGGAGAAATCATTTTACACTTACTATTTCAATCTAAGACGATAAATGTAAAAGTGATTTGTGAATCAAAATACATTTCGACGTCGTTCAATGATCTCCTCGAATTAATTGATTTATAACTTTTAGGAAAACGAGAAGGGGCACCGAAAAGCGTTGATCCTGTTACGGATACCGCGGGACTACGACCTTGTCCTTGAACTGGATTCGTTGGCCTCGCGTAAAAAATTTATTGCGAAACTGGAGGCATTTCTGACGTCCCACAAGAAACACTTCACTCTGTCCGAAGTGAGCCGGGAGATTATGCTCGCGAAAGCGGAAACGAAGGAACGCCGTCAGAAGAAACTCGAACAGGTTCTTTCCTTTTAATTTAATTGAATCGGTTCCCATTTCACCGCTTATGGGTTCTTCTCACTTTCGTGATTGGTAATTTTTTTTCGCAGTTCTTCAGGGAAGCTTACGCGTTGACGTTTGGCTTGCGGCCCGGTGAAAGGCGCCGACGATCCGAGGACAGCGACAGCGGGGAAGTCGTTACCGTGATGAGGACCTCGCTTTCTAAAAGTGAGTTCGCCAGCGCACTCGGAATGCGGGCGGACGCGGTGTTCGTTAAAAAAATGTTTAATATCGTCGATAAGGATAGGGACGGGCGCATTTCGTTTCAAGTATGTGCATTCGAATAATACTTGAGGCAAAATCAGCATTTGGTATCGATAGACATTCTTATAAGGCGTGAATTTGTTTTAGGAATTTTTAGACACCGTGTTGCTGTTCTCGCGTGGAAAAACCGAAGACAAATTAAGAATCATTTTCGATATGTGCGACAAAGATAGCAATGGAGTGATAGATAAGGAAGAACTATCAGAAATGCTTAGATCATTGGTAGAAATTGCACGAACGACTAGTTTGTCTGATGATCACGTTACCGAATTGATCGACGGGATGTTTCAAGTAAATTTTTTATTATAAGAATATTGTAGCGTAGTAATTCGTAAACTAATNGCAATCGTTTTATTAATTGAAGTTATATGAAAATATGTAAGCTCGTCATATTATAAATGTGAAACCGTTTAGTTGAACGCGGTCGATTTCAGGACGCCGGACTCGAGAGAAAGGAGTACCTCACGTACAACGATTTCAAACTGATGATGAAAGAGTACAAAGGCGATTTCGTGGCGATCGGTCTTGATTGCAAAGGCGCGAAACAGAATTTCCTCGACACATCGACGAACGTGGCTCGCATGACCAGCTTCCACATCGATCAACTTCCGCCGGAGGACTCGAAGAACTGGGTTCGAAAACAGTGGGATGCGGTTTCCACGTTCCTCGAAGAAAACCGACAGAACATATTTTATCTCTTCGTTTTCTACGTCACGACCATTGCTTTGTTCGTCGAAAGATTTATATGTGAGTCACTTACAGCTTGAAGGATTTTGAAATATGTTCGATTTATTCAAGAATGAATTGATAAAAATTTCAGATTACTCTTTCATGGCTGAACATACGGATTTGAGACACATTATGGGCGTTGGTATTGCTATAACACGAGGATCTGCGGCGGCACTATCCTTTTGTTATAGTTTACTCCTTTTAACAATGTCTCGCAATCTTTTGACAAAACTCAAAGAATTCTCCATTCAACAATACATCCCTCTCGATTCGCACATACAATTTCATAAAATTGCCGCGTGTACTGCACTGTTTTTCTCTGTACTGCACACAGTGGGACACATGGTTAATTTTTATCACGTTTCCACTCAACCAATAGCCCATCTTCGTTGTTTAACCAGTGAAATTAGTTTCCCGAGTGACGCTCGACTGACGATTTCCTTCTGGCTTTTTAAAACCGTAACAGGTGAATATCAAATTGTCTGATACCCATAAAAATGTCTATAATAAAATATAATTTAAATTTTTGCTTATACAGGTTTGACAGGAATCTTGTTATTTATTGTAATGACAATCATTTTCGTTTTCGCGCATCCGACTATCCGTCAAAAGGCGTACAAATTTTTCTGGTCCACCCACAGCTTGTACATTGTTCTGTACGCTCTGTGTTTGATACACGGCTTGGCTCGTATAACCGGTTCGCCACGATTTTGGATCTTCTTCGTTGGGCCTGCTATTATTTACGCACTAGATAAGGTGAACTGCACAATTACTCAAAAAAAACATCGTTTTATTATCATTATAAAACGTGTGTTGGATACGTTTCTTCAGGTGGTCAGTCTGCGGACCAAATACATGGCGCTGGATATAATCGAAACAGAATTGCTGCCGTCAGATGTGATAAAAATTAAATTCTATCGACCACCAAACTTGAAATACTTGTCTGGACAATGGGTTCGGCTCTCGTGCACCGCATTCAGATCAAATGAATTCCATTCGTTCACGCTGACATCCGCGCCGCACGAGAACTTCCTCTCGTGTCACATCAAAGCCCAGGGACCATGGACCTGGAAGCTCCGCAATTATTTCGATCCTTGTAATTACAACCCGGAGGACGAGCATCCAAAGATAAGAATAGAGGGTCCTTTCGGTGGCGGCAATCAGGACTGGTATAAATTCGAGGTCGCTGTAATGGTCGGTGGTGGCATTGGCGTTACCCCCTACGCTTCCATGTTGAACGATCTTGTCTTCGGAACATCCACGAACAGATATTCCGGTGTCGCTTGTAAAAAGGTAATTATAATATGATCGAGGCCGATTATTAAATTGATAAATTTATAAATAAATTACTTAAGGTTTTATCAACTCGAATAATACTCTTTAGGTTTACTTCTTATGGATTTGTCCCTCCCATAAACACTTCGAATGGTTCATTGACGTGCTGAGGGACGTCGAGAGGAAGGATGTCACGGATGTGTTAGAGATTCATATATTTATAACGCAATTCTTTCACAAATTTGATTTACGTACGACTATGCTGGTAAGCAAACATCAATTCCGAGATTATTTGCGATATATGAATGAGTTGAATGACATGTAATTTATCTGTTGCAGTATATCTGTGAGAACCATTTCCAGAGGCTATCTAAGAAGAGCATATTCACTGGACTGAAAGCGATAAATCATTTCGGTCGTCCTGACATGACTTCGTTCTTAAAGTTTGTTCAGAAAAAGCACAGCTATGTAAGTTATATATTACGATTCAATTACAGTTTCAATGTGCAGAAAAACGGATATAAGCCGGGTATAATGGGAGATTCTGATTTCTTACACCGAATAATATTTTTAATTAATACGCTTGTTTCATTTGTATTATTAGGTCAGTAAAATAGGAGTGTTCAGCTGCGGGCCTCGTCCTTTGACGAAGAGCGTAATGTCTTCGTGCGATGAAGTGAACAAGGGCCGCCGCCTGCCTTACTTCATTCACCATTTCGAGAACTTCGGCTAGTCCAAACGACGAGCGAGAGAGAGTCCGAGTTGTGAATCGAGTGTACATATTTATGCATCTCTTATTTATATAACGAGTATTATATTTTTTATTTATGACAACAAAAAACTGAATTTTTCATTTATACTTTGATTACGCCAATGAACTATTGATGTCAGCCCCCTGTTGTGTGTGATATGGCATTGATAAGCAGAACTGATTAAACTGAGTGAGAGATAATCGTTTGATATCCTTTCGAAAATTCCAAACTCTATTTTCGATGTCCCACAAATTGGAATACGGTTAATTCTAGATTTAGGATTTGAAGTAAAGAACACTTTAAAGTCTTAAAAAATTTACTAACGGCAAACAGTTCTAAGAATGTCAATCATTGATAATCCTACGTGAGGATGACGGAAACGGATAAGACCAGTTGTTCTTTGCAGAATCCTCGTGTTGGAATTCGGGTGTCTCATGTGACGTGTATCCCCGATTTATCACACCTTGCGTGTCCTCCTTGGTATCGTATCTGTTTTGTAACTTTGACGACAACTGACTGCAATCATCGCAAATACAATGCAATATATTAATTTTCCATGTCAACGTAAAACATGAATAATTAAACTTTAGTTAAACTCGAAACCTTATTATACGATCACCGAGAGAATCCTCAATTTTTGGCAGCCTCCGCCTGATATTCCTTGTATCAAAACTCTCTTCTATGATAACGTGCCTATCGTACGGTGTATCATAATCAACCTCCAGTATCGTGGAAAACTGATTGGGAAAAATCATGTCTATGGCCGTTATCACAACTCCGGCAAAGAGACATCCGATACCTGAAACAATTTACCTCTTGAATTATTTATTTCGATTTCCAAAATTAAATACTAACCAGATAATAGAATTAACCAATAATTCCAGCCTAAATTGAAGACAAGAATGGATCCGTCGATATGCGCTATCAAAGGTTCGCAAGGTAAGAGCGCCCAATAAATTAAATTGGTCAGGAGCATGCAAATTCCAGTGGAGATCATGCCGTATGCGCCATATCGTGGCACTACTACTAATAAAAGGTTCATCAGTACCCAAAAAGCAAAAGACGCCCTAGAAAAATCAATTAGTCATGGTATAAGAAAAAATAACATACAATACATCGGTGAACGATTTAAAAGTGATTCAATATCATAGGCATTCGCAAGAGTTACCTTGAAGTCGACAACATGTATATCTAATATCGTACACACCAAAGTATAAGCGATGCGTAATAGCCAGCCTGCCGATATTTACTCCCCCAAGAGAAACCTTCCTGATGAAGACTGAAATATTCGGCTAGAGAAACGATAGGGAATGGTGCTCCTTGGTTTAGCGCTTGTTTAAATGCACTCGTCATCTCGCCTGTACTTCTCCACCAGAATTTTTCGTTGTACTCGACATCATCCATTGGATTATCGCTGTTCGGTATCACTTTGTATAGAAATTAATTAAAATAAAGCTACCACTTTTATATACATTCTGGCTATTGCTTATTCGAATTAACGCCCTGTTTCTCTTTTAATATCTTTAATACTAATTCAGATATATCTTGAGATAGTAAGAGGGAACTAGCCTTGAATTGGTTTCGTACAAACAATAGCCAGAGGCTGGTTGATTCTACAATCTACAATGACTCACGTCTGTACGTGATGTTTATGTGCATCAATCCTATGTATCCGCCGATTTCTGCTGCAGTCTTCTGCCTGGAAAACGCACTATACGTGCTGACGATTGTTGCGGAACTGGTGTGCCACGAGGATCCATACTGGGCGACTATACGCAGGAAAATTGAATGTATTTCGAGAGAAACCGATTAACTGCGTGCAAAGTAGACTAAACGAACCTTGAATCGACGCTCCAACGAAAAGGCTCAGGGTCACCGTGAGGAACGTGCTCAGCCGCTATGCAGGACAATTAATGCTCACGTTAAAAAGAAATCAGAAACTTGAACGAATTTTGTTTTCTAACGATGGATCACTGACCTCCTTTCGTATTCCAGGGAATATGACTAGGAAAGCGGTGAAGATGGTGCCGAAGATGACGAACACGATCACCAGAGGAACGTCTCCCGTGACAGGTGTACGATTGCTATAACTGTACAACGTGGGGCCACCGTCGATGCGAAACGCGTCGAACCAACCCTTCATTTTGCCTGATTAAACGAACCGGTCAGTTCCGGTTCTCTTCGTACACCGTTTGACATCGGAGCCTCTCCCTTGAACAGCGCCCATCGGCACCCAACAGTGAACGGGCACCGATTCAACGAGTTTAGAATGCTATTTAAACAAATTGCTAAACAGCCAAACTTTTCTAGAGATGTACCTCAGGTCGGCACGCTCGGTTGCTCGAGTCCAAGGGCAATTGTTGTGAAACCAGGGTTTATCCGAACGCCAACGTGGAAAGCACGGAGGCAGCGCAGACACTAAGGCCCCGAGTAGGTTAACGGGTCTGCGAAAGCGATCTCCGACTATCAGGTAGAGGGGACCGGATCTCGAGAGGGGAGCGCTGAAAGAGAAAATGCGAACAGGTGGGGTTGGCTCTCTTTCTGAAAGTGGTGGACGCGAGAACGGGACCGGAAGCCGGTGTTCGATCAGGCATAAGCCGAGGGCACGGAAACGCGACGAGCATGCTTTACAATATGCAAATCAATGTGAGGACAGACTAATGAATTAAAGTCAAAATTAAATTTAAAATCTTAAAATCCATTCTTTTTAAAGGACAATTACTTAATTACTAATAATTGTAATTATGTACATCGAAATCGTGCATTTCTTTACTTTATTTTTGACGATATCACTCATACGAAATAACTTCGATCAGTACCTTAATTTCAATCGGGAGCGATGATCCCGGATGACGACACGAAGCGCGACACGTGAGCGTGGATCGCGCGGCATGCCCGATGGCACGCAGGCGACTTGAACGCCCGCATAGACGATGACGTTGACATCGGCTCCCGAAATTTTTTCAGGCTTCATCATACACGTCCGAAATAAATTAGCTGCGTTTAGTTATACAACGTCGGATCCAATTGAGCCAATGAAAGTCTTCTACGAAATAATTACTCAATTGTCTTGGCTCTAAATAGATCAGAAAATGTTGATGGATATGAAATATAAAAATTTCGTACACTATAATAT